AGTATCTGCAGAAAACAGTTAACGCTCTGTGTAGATGCAAGACTAAACCTAAATGTTGTTTGCTGCTAAATTGTTAGAGGTAAAGAGAAAATGATTTGCATGCAATATTGGTTTTTGACGATCAAATGATAACCAGTGTTAAAGAGTGTAAAAGCTACGCGAAACAGTTGTTTAGACCGTTGCGAAAAAGTTGTCGCACATCAACCATTTTTTGTATATAAATAAATAAATAAATGAATAAGTATACAAAAATAGATAGTATATATGCCAAGAGGCAATATTCCAGGAATTGGCAGTGACAGAAAGTAGCGATAGCCCAATCATATGCCCTACTGAACCTACAGAACCTGAAGATCCGCTTGGTATGTTTTGCAGTTTATCTTCTTTTCCATATTGAAGAGCATTTACAGATGACCCAGATGACCCAGATGACCCAGATGACCCAGATGACCCAGATGACCCAGATGACCCCCCCAGTCTTCCGCTTCCTGATCTGAAAATGTTCAGGAGAGAAATTCTTAACAGAATCAATAAAAATAGGTAAGTTGACACATGCTTAATATCTGAGCACGTCGATGTCTTTTCGGTGAAGGCGAAAATTTGCAATTTTATCATTTACAGAACCAATTTCCATATAATATTTTATACGTTTGTCAAAAATATTTTAAGTGCTTGATCTCTTGTCATACCGATTCTGCTCTTCTTATACGTATACGCATTGCTTCCACTGGATTAAATCCATACTATTTGATGTTTTCCCTCACGAAATAATAAATGGAAATTCCAGATTGTTTATTGCATGTCTAAACGATGCAGTATTGGAACCTTTGGTACGAAAGAGCAAACTATTTCAAAAATTACGATAACATTTAGTTTTTAAGCAATACGACTGTGAACTGGAGGAATCAGCCATGGATTATGTGGAACTCTGCATAATGGGAAATGACCAATTTGGTAATGTAAGCGTTGCAGTGTTTGCTAAGAAAAACGAAGAGACAGAGGCAGAACAGGTTGCTTTCGTGGAGTCACTTGACAACTTATGCTTCAGTCATCTAAGTGGAACTTAGTTTAGGCTATCGATTACTGGATGGACCAATGCCCTAGGGTCCCTAGCCCTTGGACACGAGCTGAATTTGATAAAATGGATCTTGGCGTCTATGATCACTTTATGCGGGTAGAGCTTTCAGTGGTAATTCAGCGACTACATTATTGTATTCTTGACAG